CGCAGAATGCTCACGCATTTAATATCCAGTCTCCGGTTCCCACACATCTTGCTGAGTGCTCTGCTAATTTTAATCACGCTGATCTAATTACTCCTGTCTGACCAAGGTGGGCAGTAGATTTACTTTATGCTCAGATGTTCACTGTGTCAAGGAGTTTGTATGGGCCATGTTGCAGAACAGGCCTGGAGACACTGATAGGAAATTACATATCTGAAAGTTCAGGGTGTCTGAGAACAGCATGTTGCTATCAGGTGCAGGCCTTCTGGAAGAATGCTCCAACCTGCAGTGAGAAGGCATCTCGCAGATTCACATGAGCTTACAAAAACATATTGATCTTTTGAAACTGTTGGGAACAAAATGTATTCCTTTATCATCAGCAGGGCGAAATTTTTGCAAGTTCTCCTTAGATGGTCACATTTCTGCCTCAAAAAGCATGGAATGTGGCACCAACTGAATCACTCTGGCTTTATTTGCAACTAGGCCCTGGAGCATCCCAGGGCACGGAGGGCCCAGAAGAGCAGGAGGCCTCCCCTCCAGTCCTTGGCATCCCCAGGAGGAGACGGAACACATGTCTGGGAACCACACCAGTCACTGGGAAGGCCAGGCAAGTTCCACCGACAGGCTGCTGGCTTCTCTTGCAAAGGTGAAATTAGAAAACTCCCGATTCTCAGGTTTGACTGTGTTGTAATAAAAGGATGTTCTTTAATATCATGTTTGCCGACACCCTTCCAATTCTGAAGCAGGACTAGATTTTGCTTCTTGAATATTTGCAAAAAAACTATTATTTCAACCTGAAAATTTAAATATAAAGCCAGAACAGCCGTTTTAAGAAACACAGCTGATTGAGTAGAGAGGCCTTTGTAGAAACTTGGGGTAGGGTCAAGTAAACCTCAGGAAAACTCACTGTTCCCTGACTTAATTCCTATCTTTTCTCCACTTCCATGACTAGTGATTACACCAACTGCAGAAGATTAAGCTCACCTAGAAAAGGAGGGGGGTCTCTTAATTCATAAGAGAAGGAGCAGCATGTGACCTTACATAAGCACTTGGCTTCCTTTGCCAGAGGTGAGAAGTCAGGGCACTTCTGAGCCTGCAGAGGCATCAGCCTGAGTCTGCCGAGCACCCTAATAGCAGCAGCCACACACATGCTGTTATTACATTAATAACCACTTGCTAATGGGTGCCACGGCAGCCAGATGTGCACTTAGTGGCTCTGTTTATGGGGATCCCTGTAGCCCCAGCGCATGCCTTCCTCTGGGTTTGGTTCCAAAGGCCTCAAGTACACAAGAAAACCTGCTGGGTATTGTGAAATAACCATCAAAAGAGAACTTGCTGAAAATTCTGCAGGAGTCTCTGCCTTGGTGTTGGGGAGGAAGAGCAGGCAGGCGGAATACTAAACTTGCTGTTCAGAGATGATCAAAGCCTCAAAGAAATGGATGCAACATTCAAAGACACTCAGAGAGAAAAAGGGGAGAATATCTCTAATCATCCAACAACTTATTTTTGGCACAGTTTTACCCAACCACCTTCCTCAGAAATGGGATATCTATGTGAAAAAGATGCATAAGATACACAGGTATCAAACATGGCAATTCTCACCCTCAGAGTGGGTGTGTCCATGTGAATCCACACGGACCCATATGACACACGTGGACATGCTGTCCTAATTTGAAAGAACAGAAATAAGCAAAATCTGTTTTTAAATGACCAAGTGCAAATTTAATCCAAATATGTTATGTTGCATGTATGTTGAAAGAAAATTCACTGAAACAATGGGGAAAAGTTTGGTGGTAATATCCTATTGAAAATAACTTTGAATTCAGAAAGTTAGTCTACCCAGTTTTTAAAGTGTGAGCAAATTAAACTTTACTGGACTATCATATGGGATTGATATCTTGGAAGAGCATCAAAAGTAAGAGTCTGCCAAAAAGATCTGGTTTTACCAATAAATAAAGCAAGAACAAGTATCACCCCCCCCCCATAAACTCAGAAAGTGATGAATTCCAATGGTCTCGGGAACAGGCCCACCTGGAGGAAGGAGGCACAGATGTTTACAGGAGAATCTCATCATCTAAGCCCGCAGGAAACGGTTTTAAGAAAGGGACACTCAGGGACTTGCTGTGCCCCTCGGCCTGTCTTGCATGGTCACGTGCACCCGGGAAGCACAGGCTGTCCCTACCACATTCAGCAGATGGCCAGGTCACCACTGAGGGCCTCCCGGCTCCTGCTGTGAGTGTCCCCAGGGCCACTCACACGAGTGCTCAGTGGAAACGTGTGGATTCTCCTTTTGGGACAGCAAGACCAGAGGCTGCCAGTGCCACCCCAAACACAGTCACCTTCCCCACGCCATCCAAATGCCCCACTCAGTGCCTTCCTTTCCCTATGTGTGAACTTTCAGCTCTCTCACTTCCCAAAGAACTTCAAGATCTGACATTAACAGAACTTCGTATATTGTCACTGATCATCTTATTGCCCCCAGGCTACTTACACAGGAATGTGTACCAATTCTAGAAACTTCAAAATAATGCATGGAGTATGCGTGCCATCCCATGTGACATGAAGCATAATATCAAATTGCTCAACTTTCTCTGTACCCCAGCAATGGGAATTACAGTGAGGTTACCTACAGCCTCACTTCTATTACAGAATTAAGAAATACAGAAGTTCAATGATGTAAAGGTAAGTACACTCAGACAACTAGACACTTTCCCTAAAATTTATTGTTTTATGCTTGCAATATTTTGAAAACCTTTTTATAAGATTTTTAAACTTGAAGGATATCTCAATAGCAGCTTCAGAAAACTGGAGGCGATGGAGATGCACTCATGAATTAACATCGGCTTCATTCACCAGTGTACGTACGCTGTAACCACAATGGTAGGTCATCCACTTAAACCCAAAGCCAAAAGCCACAAAGACCCCGTCGTAAGGGTGGTGTCCTGCTCTGCTGTGCTCGGGTTCCCTCTGGAGGAAGCCCCTAGCGTGGTGGCAGGAGACCTTGTTACCCAGGTGGTTCCCCAATGGGTGTCTGATAGTGCTTACAGAACTAAGCCCAACAGAAAATCTTTATAATCATTTCCAAATTTTCCCAGATTATATTTTTAAAGAAAAAGGTTTTTTTCCCCTCTGTCTTTTCCCCTTTTTATTAATCTGGATTGAAGAAAAGCACATATTTCATTTATTGTCTGGATTACAGATTCTTATTAAACAAACCAGAGCTCATTATAAAATCAATATCAACTTACCCACCATGTCCCCAGGAGGAACACAAAAGGTCACTCTAAGAAATTCAAACAATTTTCCTGCTAGAAGGGCATGATTTTAATTACAGATACTATTAATTAGAGCTGTCACTGGGAAGACTTTTTTCTGTTAATTATCACAAATTCAGTTCTAAGTATGCATTTTCAACCTGCATTTTTGTAAAAATTAGTCATTTCTGCATGCAAGTCCAACCTTTCCATTCTATCAATATTTTATATTTGAATTTCAAAGTATATCAAAGGATGCCATGCTTTCTAGAAATCTACGCCTGTATGATCTCCTGACTCTCACATTTGGAACAGAACGAGGTGATAATTTATTTATGTTTTGACACAGGCTAGGCCCTGAAGACCTGGCATCCTATATTGATGGCCCCGCTCAATAGAAGCTCTGGGTAAATTCTTACTAGTTTTGTGACATTTTTTTCAAGCTGCTTCTTCAAATGTGGTTTTTCCTTTGCTTTGAAGCAAAGCTACGCACTGCCCTTGAAATGCCATCTCCAACCCATTTGAAGCTGCCATTTCTTTATACGAAAAGGATAGTCCTGACTGGGCTTGTGACCCCTCCAGGAGACTAGAGGTTTTCTCCATTCAGTGACAATACTAAGCATTTTGAAATTAGTGGAGAAGCTATGTCATGGTCTCTTTTAAGCACAGAAATTTTATGAATTCATCGGAACTCCTTCCATGGGATAAGGGGTAGGGTGGCCCATGGGGCAATGTCCAGCCAGCTCCATGCCAGCTGGGCATCGGGCATCTACCTCGGTAAAGCTGATGGCAGAACAACAGTACTGACTTTCTGTTGTGAAACATGTGAATTATTTACACGACGTTGTACACCATGGTCACATGACCACAGAAGACAAAGACCGAGTCCAGTGGGAGAAAACCTTACCAATGCATATTGATTAAACTTTTAAAATGGCAATGAAGGTAATTATTTTTACCTTCTCAAATGGGAATACTGTATATACATGGAATCAACATATTTTTATGTTACAGAAATCAAATGTCCTGACTTGTAGATGTGCTTGGCTTGTACTACTGTCATAACTAAAGTCTTATTTTATTATGCAGTGTTATTAGATACGAAACACACATAACAGAACATCCCAGAATTCTGAGGTTTTGTTTCTGTCCATCATCTCAGGTCTCCCTTTCTCTCCAAGTGTGTCTGCTGGAGCCTGGCACCTCCTCACACAGCTGCCCACCACCTCCTGCAGACATGTGGGCTTATTTCCCATTAGAAATCAGCATTAGATTTCACTTTATCTGAGTCATAGCAAAGGGTGGCAACAGATCAGGTCAAAGGGGGCTTTTCATACAGGACCCTGAGGAAGTTGATGATTTAAGAGACATCTTCAAATATTTACACAACCAATTCATCTTGCTACTCTGGCATGTTTCATTAACAGTCGCCAAAACTAAGAAAGATAACAGATAATACGTAATTCATGTATTGTACTTTTTCCACATCTCTAATTAGCAACCTGCTTTCACAGCTAACACCAAACTATCCAAGAACAGTAAGATTAATACAGAGCCGTAAAGCTGTGGTTGCAAGGTATTTACATGAATGCTAATGAGAAGTTTCAAATTGTCATCATAAAAGAACCCAAACTATGAATAAATGAGCAAGTTCTGGGAGTGGGGGAGGGACCAGGGACAAGTAAAAATAAAGATTATCTGCTCAGTGGATGAACCCAGCAAAGGCCTTTGAAAGGAGTCTCTTCTTACCTGGTAGGCAGCAGTGGCGTCCGCACTGGGGTCACCCCCCAGGCCCGATAGCTTCTTCTTCAGCTTGTGGTGGGAGCTGTGGCGGAGGCAGTAGATGAGGCTGGAGGCCAGGAGGACGCCCACGATGCAAGCCATGGACAGGAAGGTGAGCACAATGAACTTGGTGGAGTCCTCCTGATCTCCCCGGTGAGGCAGGAGCTTGAGTTTGCTGCTCTGCACAGGGATAAGGAGAGAGGCCATGTTAGCATGCAGAGAATCACCACCTCTCAGAAAGCCAGCCTCTGCTGCAGTTGAACACTAGTGCCACAGGACAAGACAGGGAGCAGGCACCGGCACACACAATGCTGGAGCCCCTCAAGGGGAGCCAGTGTGATAGCACCTGGAGATGGTCCATCGGATGACAAGGGGGCCCCTGTGTTTCTCTCCTCACTGTTTTTCAAACTTAACAACATAAAGTGCTCTGCAGCTCATTCTCTGCCTTAGAGCAAGTGGGGAGAGGGACAGACTGCAGAAGATAAAGCAGCAACAGAGTTACAAAGTCGGCGGCATTCCGCAGAACAGCACAGCCTCTCTGCCCATCATGTTCTGAGGAATCTGCCATCCCTGAAAGGCCCATTTGCCTTGGGAGGCATCCAGTGTCCAGGAGCACCAGACCCCAAGGTGTGGCTCCTGGAATTAGCCAGGGTGGGGACAGGGAATGGGTGGCCTGAAGTCTACCCCTCAACCCTGAGAGTTAAGGACCCCAGGCCCGCAGCCTCCTGGAGTCCTCCTTGGGTGGGGACAAGGCATGAGAATACCCTTTGGTGCCTGTCACTGGTCTCCCGGGGCAAGGAGCCTGGCGCCCCTCATTAGCTTCATTAGGAGGTGTATTAGCGACAATTAAAAGCGCCACAGGAAAATGGACGCTGCGGCACATTGCCCACGACTCCCAGCCAGCGAGCCCCCCACAATTACCCGGGAAACGAATGGGAAAGCACGCCCTGCCTCAGTCCTGGTTGCTACAAGATGAGAACAATTAGCAAACTCCTTTCCACCACCTAATTTCGCGTGGTAACAAAATGGATTTTTCCCCATGAATGCCTGGCCGGCCTAGTCATTATCTCTCTTCTATTCGTAATTTTCTGCACCGCATTCAGCCTCCCAACTCTTCATTTCCTTCTGCCTCCGAATGTACACAGTGCCTCTTATGTCAGGCCGGCCCATTTTTATCTTGTAATCATGAAGGCCACCAAAGCAATTATCGCCGGTCTTGACTGGAAAAGCTGCTCATTAATTAGCCTCCTTTTGCCTTCCGTGCGCGGATTAGCGGGCGCCGGGACCGAGTTAATGGAAACGCGGGTTAAGTGAGAAAGGACGCCCGGATTTTCCTGCCTGGATGCCGCTCCGCTCTGGAGGACCGCGAGGTTCGGGGCTCTGAGCGGATAGCGTGAGGGGAGGGACTGGGACCGGGCCGCGGACGGGGCCGGACCGGAGGGGGGCGCGGGGCCTCGCAGAGAGGTGGTGGCGACCCCTCCCCTTCGCCCCCTCCCTCCCTCCCTCCCGCCTCTCTTTCCCTCCTCCCCTCCCCCTCGCCCTCCCCCCTGGCCCCCGCAGCCGCTTCCAGGAAGGAGTCACCGGGAACCGCGGCGACCCAGAGCCACGCAGAGGCGGGAGAGCGAGAGCGGAGCGAGCCCTCGATCCGGGTCCGGGTCCGCGCGCCACCCCGTGCGTCCCGGGCAGCTCCCGCCGGCGCAGCTGGGGACCGGCCCACTGGGACAGGGCTGGGCCCGCACGGAGCGGGCTCACGGACCCGCGTGGGGGCGTCTCCCGGGCGGCCCCCGCCCAATTCGAGTCCCGTCTCGCATTGGACACGCAGTAGGGCAACAAAGGCGAGGACTGGCGCGACCATGTGGCCGACTGCGCCCGGGAAAGGGGACCTCGCAAACCTGGGGCCCACGCGAGGGCAGGCCCATCCGACGAGGGCGCGGACGCGCAGGGGATCCAGGGGGCAGTGCCCAAGTCTACCAGTCCAGACCCGCGGGGCCCAGGAGCGGCCAGGGAAGGGAGCGCCCCGGGGACCGCGCCCGGCTCGTCCCAGGTCGGCTGCTTCCCTCCCACGAAACTCGCGGTTGCTGCGGTCACAGTGCGGCCGCGCTGGGCCCCAGCAGAAAGCGGGACGGGGCGGGAGCGCCTGGGATTTACTCAAAGGTCAAAGACAAATGTCAAGGAGAGAGACGGCGGAGATCTGGGGCTCCTCTCCCTGGGCGCCGCTAGGTCTCAGGCGTTGGGCAGAGCAGGGTACCCCACCTCCCAGAGTCGCGCAGCTCCCCCGACGCCGGGGCCTGCGCTTCCCAAGGAAGGGGTGGCAGTGTTTCGGAATGGGCGCCAGCGCCCCTCCCAGAACTCCTCAGGAGCCCTTCCTGCAGCCGGCGGGGGGGCCTGGTCACCAGAGGGACCCTGCGGTCGGTCGCAGGGTCTGACCTTGAGGGCTTGACCTTAGGGGCCGCTGGGGTGGATCCCCAAAAGTTACCCCCCGCCCCCAGCAGCCCACAGCCCCACCTAGCGTTGGGTGGGGAGGGTGGATAGCCGCGCAAACCGGGCTGCAAGTCTTGCTTTAAGAATCCCGGAAGAAACGAAAATTAAAGAAAATTGAAATGGCTGCGTGAACGCCCTTTCCGGGCACAAGTGGTTGAGTTTAAATAACTTTACAATTACTTTATTTCATTGCTTTTCGTAGCGTTAAAAACAAAGTTAAACACCCAGGTAACCAGGGAGCTTTGCGAAAAGCGCTTCAAAGTGTTTGGGTCCCAGAGCCAAAGCCCCTCTTCCTCCCGCTCCTGCCCCTCGGGCGGAGGGCTGGTGGGGACCACGGGCGCTTTCCTGGGGCTGGGCCCGGAAGAGAGCCCAGACTAATTAGAAGCATTTTATCAGTCTTGACTTGAAATTGAAAGAAAATGATGTTTAAATATTTATGACTTTGACATTTGCAGCCAGCCGTCTTTAAAAGCAGAACACCTCCTTCTGCAGGGAGCAGGGCTCTTTCTGAAGTTTGGAGCAGAGGAAAAGAGGAGAAGGTAGAGAAACAGCAGTTCTCAGAATCAGGTCACAAGGCTGGGGTGACAAGCATCCCGTGTCAGAGGCGCCGCTCACCAGCACTTTGGTACCAAGTTGTTGAGAACGGGGATCTGACAATGGTTCTTTAAGTAGTGAGGAATGAATAATCGAGTCGAGTTTGCATCCCATTTAGATGCATCTTGAGAGGTGAGGTGAAGTACAACATTACATATTTCCTCTCTCATCTCCACCTGCAACTCCTCAAATTTAGAATATATGTTATTGCAAAAGTTGTGATTCAAAATAAGTGTGTTGGCACAGCGGTAATTTGTGGAACTGCTCTTAGGAATCAGAAGCTGCAGGTAGGGCAGCCCGGACTGGTTTAGTATTCTGATCTGTGCTGACAAGCCAAGGTGCCTGACTCAGGAGCCGGCTCTTCTGAGCCCTTCATGGCCAATGCCCTCAGAACTTTTTTTTTAAGCTGTCCAAGAGGAAGCTTAAAAGAAGAGAAAAGAAAAAGGAACATTCTATACTCAGACTCGATTGTGAGAAATGAGACAGCCACAGTGCAGAACTTTATGGTAAATATTTGTTGTTGAGTAGCAAAATCTAGCATTTTTGCAAGGCTGCATAATGTAACCAGTTCAGAAGACCATTATCTGACTCACTGAATTGCAATTTTAAAAGATGCTTCTACTAAAAACAGGTGGGAACAGACATTCAACTTCATCGATATTAAACTTCTAATATTGTTAGTGCCTTTGTTTGTGTCATTTTTAAGGAATTTGATTTGCGTGCATCCAACCCCAGGCTGTGTTTGTCTGCACATTTTTAAAGGGTAGCAGAAGCCTTTACTGAAAATGAGAGGAAGGAGGTGCCCCTCCACTCCCCAGGGCGGCCATGGTCTGTGAGGATGGGCTTTACTCTAACTACAAAGACCTTTTCCCCTGTAAAATTCAGAAATTAGTTTTAGAAGCAATTAATGAGTTGCTATAACAAGTTTGCCTTTGGTTCGCTATGTGAGCATCTTAGAATTATTTGGAAATTTCATTCTAAAAGTATTAAATATATTTACTAAAATATAGCAACTATTACATTAAAGCTGTTCACAATTTTTAGCAGTTTTCAGGCCAGGACAAGTGACCATATTTAAAAATCTGGGGGAGGGGTGTCTTACAATATTTTAAAAGTATTTTTTAAAGCTGTTAACTGAACTATTTTTAATTTGGAATTTACCACAGAATTCTAATAAATGAGAGAAGTCAGGCGGAAATAATCATGTATTAATTCTCTGCATTACAAAATCTTTTCAGAAGCTATTATCAGAGCAAGAGGCATTGCGGTCTGAATTCAGGGTGGGAGAAGTCCTTTGTGCTACTGAAAGCTATTGTTCCTCTGTGCAGATGAAATTGTACTTGCAAATCTGCCATTCAAGTAGCCAAAAAAGAGGAGGGAGATATGGGCAAAAGAAAAGAATCTCCGAAAAGTAATTATTCTTATACACAAACTTTAATGAAAATAAGTTGGAATGGACTGTTTTAAAATGGACTATTAGTTGAGGTTTCTCAGGCATACACACAAAAAAAGTGGCCATGCAAAAGATAACAAATCGTTTATTTGCCATCTTTAAGCACTCCCAAAAGTATCAGTTTTAGAAAAATACTGTTTTAAGACATCAGAGAAGATTTACGATACCAATATTTAAAGGAGGAAAACACTCCGTGCACACTTCTTTTCCGCCAGGCATGATAGCCACATTTCGTCCCGGGTGGAAGAGACAGGACCAACCAACTGAAAGCAGGCTGAAACGGACGGGGTAAACTCGCTCCTTCCCACCTCTTTGACTCCTTGGCGGCAGCATTTTCATTACAGCAGAGCTCAGACTAGGCCCCTGTTCCTGGCAGGCCTGTTCTGTGCCAGGGGCCTGGTGCATCCTCCCGTGCTGTCTTAGGCAGGTGTTGCCCAGGATAATGACTTGGTCTGGCTGAAGGAGGACACCCATGCCATGCCACCCTCAGCAAGGACAAAACCTGCTTCAGGTCTGGGACTTCATGCTTTGCCTGCCATACCCAGGCCAGGAAGCCTGCACTGGACTCTCGAAATTGCGGTCGGGACTCCACTGTAGTCCAGGGAAGCCAGGGTTGGCTTCCAGTCCCCTCCCCCACCCGGGGAGGCGGACCTCACCAGGCCTGCGACTTTCTCACCCCTGCCTCCCTGTCCCTTCCCCCTCCTTAATTCAGGAGATCCCCACAGAGGTCGGAAAGATCAGACCATAGCGCAGGACACAAAGGGTTGAGGCTTCCCCTGGAGCCGGGGTTATTCACAGCCTGAGAGGATCCCCTTCCCAGCAGGGACAATGCAGTGGCCCAGGCTTCCAGGCCACAAAGCACAGTGCTGGAGGGAGGAATTTTCATCCCCAACAACTCCGGCACCCATCTAAGAATCTCAGAGCTACCCAGTCCTCTGCTGCACTCTGGGGCTGGGTGGGGTACACCTGCTGGTCGGGTGGGCATTTCTTCCCACGTGGGTGGGAAGAGAAGAGCTTCCTTCTTCTTCCTCTGCACAAACCTCCACTTCCTCCCATTTGCCTGGCCCTGTAGCAGGGGATCTGGGCCAGCTTGGAAGAACTCTTGGACACTCCGAACTCTGGACTCCAGGCCAGGACCCAGTAGGGACCAGTGAACTTAGATTGGCTAATAAAACCCAGAGCAAAGGGGTGCATTTGGGGTTTCAAGGAGGTTGGGGATGAGACCAAGGGACAGGAGAGTGTTGTGCATCCTGGCCCCCCCCAGGAGCCTCCAAGCTGACCTTGGTGGGGTGTACTGGATATAGAGCATTGGTGACCGTGACAAGGATCTCTCTTGCCCCAAGGCCAGCCTGCAGCACTGTGAGCTTAATGCAGAGGATGCAGAAAGTTGGGAACCTCTGACTCCAGGTCAATGCTGCCCAGATTTTAACACCTAAATTTGGGGTGCACAGGCTGCCTGGGGCAGGCTTCTAGCCAAGAAGCAGGCCAGTGTTCTGACCACACCACACTGTAGTTAGGGAAGAATGAAGCCTTCCTTCAAACCACCGGACTCAGAAGTTTCTCTGGCTCTGCTGAGCAGGCACATCTGGGAGGTAGGGTGCACAGGTTTCCTCCCGGGGAGGGGACCCAGCTGACCCCCCCCCCCAGTACCCTCCACACTTTCTGACTCCCTCTCGTCCTCTACCTCTAACTCACTACTTGAGAGATGCCTGGATGGCATCGAGGTGCTCCTGGACCCCGAGAAGAGGGTAAAGAGTGCCCCAAAATGCACGGGAAGAGAAATGCCCCACGCTACTGCTCTCCACTCTGGCTGTTCTTCCTGTCCTTGCTGTCCACCTCCTTGCCCACACCCCTCCCCATCTCTGTGCCCGTACCACGGCCAGCCCCGCCGCCCTGTTCTGTCAGGTCTGAACTGCCCCAGTGGCAGGCGAGGCAAGTTGCAGGCTGACAGTAGAGCGCGGGGAGAAGCGGGGCAGGCCGCGGTCCAGCCTCCTCAGACTGGGTGGGGGGACTCGCGGAGCAGGTAGGGGCCACCCCCTCCCACTCTGTGTGCAGGAAGGGCTGCCACCTCGGGATCCTCCTCGACACCCACCCCAGACCACTTGAGGAGGACCCTGGGCTAGGATGCCTCCCGCTGGCCGACCCTTTGACAGGTGTCCTGCGGCGAGTCAGTTTACCTCTGAACTGGGTACGACGCCCGCCCGGGTGGCCCATCTGAGCCCCCACGCACACCTCCACCCTCTCATCACCAGCTCCACGCCCTTCCATCTCCGCACCCGGCGACGGGGGTGGGGTCCCCTCCTTTTCCCTCCCACCGCCGCCCCAGCTCCTCTCGGCTTTCCGAGGACCCACGGGCCGCTCCATCCAGTGTCCGCGGGGCCGGGCGCCCCTGGTTACCTGCTGCTGGGCGGTCGCCGGGAGCCCCGGTGGGAGGAGGTGGGGGCGAGCACCCCGGCGAACGGCCTCGGGGCGCAGTGACTGCCGGCAACGGCGACGCCATCATCACAGCCAGCCGCTTCCTTGCGCTGGAGGCACGGATGAGCCAGCCCATCCCGCTTCTGACCACAAACTTCTCCGCGGCCGGTGGAGACAAAGGTGCCGCGCGTCGCAGCTCCAGCTGCAGCCGCACCGCTCGGAGCCCGCGGGCGCACGCAGCTCGGCGCGGCCTCTTGGGGCCGCTCTGCGTGCCCCGCCTCAGCCCGGCCCCTGGCTAGGCGCGTGGAGCCGGACGCGGCGGGCGCAAGAGGGCGCAGGCCGGGCGCGGGACGGTCCCCGCAGGGCTGCCGGCCGCGCGCGCAGCTCCAACCAGCGCGGCCGGCGCGCCCCGCCTTATATCCGGCCCGGCGCGCACCCGGCCGGCGGCGGCGCGGCTCTCGGCCCAGCCACCGGTTGCTATAGCGATGTCCCCCCACCCCCCACCCCACATGTTGCTGACAGCAATTGGCTAAGGGGCTGCGGCTTTCCGAACCCTCTCTCCCGCCCGTGACTATGAATGGACATCGGCGTTGTCAGTCACCCGTACTGCGCCGCAACCAGGCCCTTGGCCGGTCTTTCTGTCTTTCTTTCGTCGCTGATTCCTACCTCATCCTGGGCAAGTTCAGGGTAGCACTTGGGAGCAGAGGAGCTTCGGCAAGGAAAGTCAGCCCGCATGGCCCTAACGTGACCGTCGGTTATGGGAGGGTAGGTGGGGTGTGATGAAACTCTTGCAGGAGAAAAATGCGTGGCCAATCTTTCAAGTTACTTTAAAATTGCGGTGGGGGGTCTCTTTGCTTCCTTTCCAAACTGAAGCATGTCAGTTACGCAGGGAATCCCTTCCCCATCTTATGTGAAACCCTCCCCCAGGTTTTAGGCCTAGGAGGAGCGTGGAAAGCGCACAGAGGAACTAAGGCTTTGCTACCGTTGGTCCAGGCGGACTGTGAGCCTCCAGTTCAAAAGCTGGACAGAGTTGGCGGCAGCGAAAACCGAGGAATCCCAGCTGCGTCCTTATCTTCTTCTTCCCACCCCAGGTCAAAGGTAGAACCTGAGCCACTGCCTCTCGGGTGGGACGAATGGAAAAGGTCATAAGATCTCGTTGCCAGTCGCTCGAGACGCCCAGCGGCGTCCTGGCGCGGGTCACACAGCACCCTGTAACAGGCCTTCTTGGGTCTTCGCCACTGTGCCGCGTTCCCTGCCCCCGTCTCCCTCCCCAAGCCCTGGATCCCCGGTCGGTCGCAGCCACAGGTTGCTGCACCCCGGTGCGCGGCGCCCCCCTCCGCGCAGCCTCCGCCGGGAGTTGGAACCCAACATCTGTGTGCACAATGCGCTCTCCGAGGCCCACAGCTGCAGGCACAAGGGGAAGAAAGGAAGGAGCGGGGGAGCAGATCCTGTCACACGCAGATGACAGTCTGCAGAGGGCTCTTTAGTGTCTCCTTTTCTGGAAGCCCTGGCGCCCCCCTCCCAGTTCCCTCTCCTGCCGCCTCCCCATTGTTCCTAGCGCTCCGGACAGCTGGAGACGACGACCACACCACCCGCCGCTCTCCCTCCGCTCCCCTCCCGCCGCTCGCCAGGCGTCCCCTCTGGCAATCCGCGGTCCCCACCAGGGCAGGGCCAGGCGGGGATGCACCGCCTCGTACCCCACCCCCGGCTCCGCCCCGACCTGCTGGTGCCGGAGCTTCGCCTTCGTGCACCTCTCCGGTTGTCCGCCCCTGGCGGAGTCGGCGGGCAAGGCCCCTGGCAGGGCTTTGAGAAGAGATCCAGTCCTGCGGCGCGCCGGCCTCTCAGCAGCGCGCTCCGGGGACTCCACTTTCACTTGTATTTCTTGTTTTTACCGGGCCGGGAAGGCGCGCTTCGCAGAGCCCCAGGGCACGCGGTGCTGCATGGGCCACGGTCCACGGAGGTAGGAGAAGGCCTGGGGTGCCAACCGCAGGGAACTTGATGGGGCTGGAAGGGGACAGGGAGTTCCGGAAGAGGCCAAGAGTCGAAGCCTCAGCCGGTTACTCCCACGCCCCTACCTCCACAGGCCGGTAGGGGTAAGTCACCCGGGCCCTCTAGTCCGACTCTCAGCGGGCCGACACGGGCGGGCAGAGGGACCAGGATGCTGTGGCCCTACGCCTTGCGCTCTGAGGCATCACCGTCGGCCAAGACCCTAGCGGCAGCGGTTCCTGTCCCTCTCTGCGACCGTCCTCACGGCTGTGGCCGACCGGCTGCCCTGTGCCTCGGCGTCCCCCGCCAGCGTTCCGGGCTGGGAGCGTGGCCCAGGGCAGAGACAGGGGAGGGGAGGTGGCGCGCGCGGAAGAGAGGAAGATAAGGGAGAGAGGCGGCTGGGGAGCCAGGCTGGCAGGAGCTGACCTGCGCCCTCAGCCTGGCTGGCAACCGGCCCTCCATAGCAACGGCCTGCCAGAGCCTGTGGGCGCGCGCGTTTGTGCGCGCGCGCGCGAATGTGTGCGGTGAAGATCTGAGCCTTCCCAGTCCCTGGGTAACAGAGGCTGAACAGGATCGCACAATCCCGGGTCGGGGACCGAGGAGTCCCCTTCAGGAGGGAGGCTCAGCTTTGCAGGTGCGGCTGGCGCCTTAGGGCCCGGGATCCCTCTCGGCCCGGGGTGGGGATGCGCCCATCTCAAGCTCGGTTTCAGGGTCCCGGGGCTCCTGGCCTCCTGCCCAAACCTCCTGTTGCAGCCGCAGGATCAGGGAATTGCGCGTGGTGCGGCTCGAGCGAGCGCCTGAGATCTGGCCCGGAGCGTGCGCCCCCGTCGGCTGGCTCCCCAGAGCCCAGAGGGGCTGAGCGGAACAGGCCGAGCGACCCGTGGCCACCCTCCGCTGGGAACCTGCTCGCCGGCCTCAGGCGCTCCTCTTGTCCTCCAGCCACGTGGGATTCCCTGCTGGCCCAGCCGCATCCCGCAGCTCAGTTTCGGAGAACCGCGTGAGGGCCCGGCAGTGGGCCCCAGGATCCTGAAGCCACCGAATACAGGCTGAACCCCAGAGTAGGGCATGCAGCTCCAGGCCAGATGGCCAGCTTTGTGTTCTCCACAAATTGATGTGACTTGACAAGTAAGTGAGTAAAAAATTATTTCACGTAGTTTTCTGTCGTCCCAAAGGATCCTACTTTCATGTCAAAGCACCACACTAGATTAGACCTGAACTGAAAAACCCAGTCTTTCCAACAAGTGGAGGAAGGATGGGCTCGGAGGTGGCTCAATGTAAGTTGGATTTTGGTCACTTTCAAAAGAGTGAGATGGCTTTAAAGGCACCATAGAAAAGTACGTCCCCCCCCCCCCCCGGGCTTCCCCTGTGGTGGGCAGTGACTTGCCGTGGACAGCCCTGACCCATGGCCCCTGCTTCCCATGGACAGCCTCCAGGATTCTGCTTGATCCCACACCATGCTGGTCAGTTCCCAAGGGGAAAGACAGACTCTCCAAGAAATTCAGGAAAAGAAGTGTTTGTAATTTAAGTGGGGACCCATTTAGCCTGCTGCTTCAGAAACAGGTAAACTAACCTACTAGATTCTCATTCTATTTCATTTTAAATTCCTTTCTCATTTCCAGGGCAGAAAAAAATATATCTTTTAATTCATGAAAACACTCTGGAAAAGTTTCCTGGCAGTCATGACTCAGCTATCTTGAAGAATGAATAATGATGTTAGCTTTGTTATTTTCTAATGTTTTGGTCAGGAGGCCCTGGACTTCATTTAATAATAAATATGAATTTGTATAATTTTGATAACATTTCAGAAAAATTTCAACACGATACAAAACATTTCTGAAACATGTTGATTGAAATCATTTATATATGACAAATGAGCACATGATTCACACAGAAGTTAGGGTTGCTTGACTAATGAATAAAAAAATCTGGCATTTGTAGAATTTCCCAAGACTCACAAAATGCCTAAACAATATAAGTAGTTTAAAATGATTTGCCGATCCCTGCTAATTCTTCTTTTTAAGTGTGCTTCACATTTGTCATGTGTAAAAACTAATGTGCTGTGATAAGAATCTCATTTTCAATTTAGGGAACAATGGGCTGGTTGGTAGAGATCACACATTTCAGTGATTAGAATAAATCTCCAGTGTTCTAAATTATCAAAGAAAACCTATTTTTAAACAAAATAGAGAATGGCTGTTATGGAAAATACGATTATTATAAAGCAAAATACTTTTAGGAACTTAAAATATATGGTAAGGTAGAAAATATTTTTTAAAAACCTTTTAAAAACCTGCTTCATTTCATAAAATTCTAAGCCGATTTTGTTTTTAAAATAAATGCTAATTTATATAACTACAGTTCACCAACTATATTTCAAATACTTTGGATTTGGAAATCCATTTATAAGAATGATTTAAAATTATAATTTAAAAATAGAACTAGATCTTTGTAAACATCGTAGCACTCTTCAGATAGCTACTAAAGAGAATAACATTTTGCAGTACCAAGGAGTGAATGATGGGAAGCAAAGTGTTTCATTTGGCCACCCCCCTAGTGACATGCAGTAATCAGCCCTGAGGAAACTTAAAAAGGTACTGGTAAGGTCCGTATGGAATCTGAAATCTGTCAGTTGTCAGTAAATAGCTATTTTTAAGGCCTCTATCCGGGTGAACATTAGATGGCAGTGAGAAGTCTCCCCTCCCTGTGGGAGAAGCCAGCCCACCACAGCTGCACTGCCGCATCTTGGAGGAGTCCTTGCCATGCACCCTGCAGCCCTTGACCCAAGTTTAACCCAAGTTTATCCCTCTGTGCCGTTGGTTCCCAGCCTGGGAAGAGTCCTGGCGTAAGGACTCTTACGCCAGAATATACTGCTATCAAACCAAGGTCTTAGCATTAAAGTTCACAGGAATTGAAAAATACTGAATTTATTTGCTCAAATATTTCACTTCATTAAAAACACGAAGTTTTCATTCAAAAAAGAAAAATGCAAGCCACTTTTTTGTTTTAAAAAGAATTATCAGAATCACCTTGCTTTTATCAGCATTCAAGTTGGCTCATATTCTGAATGATCTAAAGTTTTTGAAATCTCCAAATAGTAACTCTATTATGAGATATAGTTGCTGTTCCCCCAGTGGCTTAACATGATAACATGAAACCACATCCTTAAAAACCAAAAATGTACTTTAACATAGATTTATGCTTGATAGGATGGTCAAAAAAGTCCAGATTTTTGGACTTTCTTTTTCAAACTTTGACACAATTCAAAGGACAAGAAAAGTCTCAACACCTTGTGATTACTATTACTAGTTTTGTCCGTTGACCACAGTATTCTAAAAACTACCGCTCACTCTGGAAGGCTGAGGCAGGAGGATTACAAGTTCCAGCCTAACGTGGGCAACTTAGAGACTATGAGACCTTGCCCCAAAATAAAAAATAGAAAAGGGCTGGGGATGCAGCTCTGTGCAAAGGCCCCGGGTTCAATTCCCAGGTCCACAAAACCAACCAACAACAGGAAGAAAAAAAACCCCATACACAACCACTGTTCATGGGGACAGTATTTATAAACAGAACCATCTTCCTGGAGTTCCTCTACTTTTCAGTCTACCTCCTTGTAAAGATCTAGTTTTTATTATTTACAAAACAGTGTTACAAAAGGTGTGCTTAAGCACTGATGTTCAGCGTAGTGCGTGTTTTATGTTTGTGGACAGACATAGTTCAGCTAGAATTCCTTGACCGAACACTGTGAGACTCATCCCCATGCGGCAAGAAGCTGACTTTTTTGAAAGTGGTTAAATGGTGCCCTTGTGATCCAGTGAAGGGAAACAAGGTGCTATGTGGAGAGTTTCCAGGTATCTCTGTTTTTCAGTTAAAAGCTCTTTCGTGCATTTTGTCACTTACAAGTTGCAGGTCCATTATAGTTGTCTAAAAACAGCTTTTCCCTTGAATTGCTCTGAATTAAAAGTAGAACAACAGTTCAGGTAAACGTTTGTTTCACAATTACATAACTCGGCGATGTTTGCATAGACTCTCAGAAAGGTGCCAATGTATATTTTAATGCCTGAAGACAGGCTCTGATGAAATGAAAGAATGGCCGCTGCCTACCGAGCTTGCCTCTGTACTGGACTCTGAGGAAAGGAATCCCTATAAAGTGCCGTCTCCTGACTATATTGCAAGTGGGTTTGTAAGCATTCAGACTGAACATGAACGAAGACTCAGAGCAACCAGTTGCCTGGTGTGGAGAAGACACAGAGCTCACCATCACCCTATAGAGTGAGTCTCGGTTGTCCAGAGCTCTGTACAAATTCACTCGCAGCTGCTAGAGCCAGTCGAATGGAAACAGCAGCTCCTCATCTACAGACTCAGTCTGACATGTGCTGCTATCTACGAGGGATGCTGGGCGTGGACGATGCTGTGTGCCGTGCACTCTGACGCGCTTGCAGGCCGTCTCCTTGGCGCATACGCCCTTCAGCTTTGCCCAGTCAGTTCAGAGATTCCCATCTGTAATCATCTCCACAGGCACTCCATCTAAACTGGAAGTCTAATCTCATGGCTTTAAATCGTTCTTTGCTTCTGATTCCCCCAAACTGGATAACTTCACTCGATCACCCCTTGCTTTCTCTGTCCTTTTCTCCAGTTACTTTTGAGAATTAAAAAAAAATATAAACTACCTTTTAAAAGATCCCTTCCTCCCACTGAGAATATGTTTTTAAAAGGCCATTTCAACAGATTAGTGCTCTGAGTCTGGTAAGCTGTGTGGGGTGGCAGGGCAAGGCCTACCCTTCTGGGATGCATGGGGAGTGGCGTCACCTCTGGAACCTTTACTTTTCCTCTGTTGGGTTCCCAGTTTCCATGGCGACAATCTCTCTGTCCTCAATGTCCATCTCTAGGGTGAAGCTTGAGGCTTTCCTGTCCTTTGTCCTTGCCCCCCACCAGATTCTGCCACTTTCTCAGGGTGTCACTTTGTCTGTCCCCATTCCAAGCCCCACCTGTGTTAAGGGCATTGGCCCAGGTGGCCCTGATGACTCCTCCTGCATCCACTTAGCTGGCTTCCTCCCTCCCTGAGAATTCAGCACCTCTCCCTGACCTTCAGAGTGTCCCTGCCCCTTGTGTCCCTATATGCACTGCAGTCCTTATCCCTGATCGACTGCTCCAAAGTTATTACATGCAAAAGCCTAGCAATAAACAATTCACAAGTCTTCAGTTATGCACTTGCCTGCTGCCCAACCTGCCCTGCCCTAGATGGGAATCATGCCTGGACCCCCTGGCCAAGATGTCTACATGGCCTGCCTGGTTAGTCACTCTGAGCCATCTCTGCTACCGGATCAGCTGCTACAGAACCACAAGGCTTGTGTTCAAGTGACCTTTATACTTAATGACAGGCCCCAGTGCATGAGAGCAGCAATTCACGTAAAGCTTTTCTTTATGACATAAACACTCAGTCATAAGATCCATATTTTTGAAAATGTTTATGTACTTCACCTCTCAATAATTGAAAGAGATGTTTTCAAATCATCTACTATCATGATGAATGTTTTGATTTCTTCCTGTAATCTTATCAGTTTTTGCTTTATGTACTTTAGAGTTATTTTAAGAGATGGGGAAGGAGGAATCAGATGGGAAGGAGAAATAAAAAGAATTAAGATGCATTATATACATGCACCAACTCCCCACAATGAATGTAAATCATGTACTGCAGACATTGACTAATGAAAAAAAATTCAAGTTCAAGGGGCTGGGGATTTAGCTCAGTGGCACCACACCTGCCTCACAAGCGCAAGGTCCTGAGTTCGATCCCTGGTACCGCAAAAAAAAAAAAAATTTTTTTTTAAGTTCAAACAAAACAAGAAAAGCCAAAGAAAAGCCACACAATGCTTCCTTCAAGTGAAGAGGTGAGGGTGCTCAATTAAGGAGAGGGAAAATCATATGTTGAGGTAACGGAGATCTACGGTGAGCACAAGACACAGCAGAAAGTGCAGAGTGGCATATACCATGTGTGGGCTTAGGGCGTGGGTGGCATCCTCAGCAGGTCAGGGGGACATGACCACCTCATACACACATATGCAGGACTGTGCACGTGTACACACAACTCATGAATGCCCCACAGTGTTCCTGCACTGTGCACAACTTCACAGAAACATGCATCCCTGTACTTTGTTTCCTTCCCATCTCTCAAAGGCCAGGGCTTTGTGCACTGAGAAACCAAAGGGAAAACGAAGTCTTTCAAACTGGTCAGTGCTGGAGCCACAGCAAACCCACAAGCACATGCACCTGTGCGAACACATGCATGGCACACATATAGCCATAGCCTCAGGGCAGCACAGGGGTGATGTGGGCTCCCTGGTCTCCCCTGGGTCCTCCAAGCAACCTCTGAGCAGGCATTATTATTTAAATGATAACTCAGTGGTAGTAATCGTTTTTGAACAAGGAGAGGGCTTTGACCCTCGATCTTTTATGTGATGTGTCCTGTGAACACATTTAAAAACCTCCGGCGTCTCTCCTCACACTTGCTCAGCTGCTGCCCCTTCCTGTGCCAGATCCTGGAGCATGCAGTACAAATCTGTCCCTCACTGGGGACAAGAGCACTGGGGTTTCCCAAGACAGCACAAGTGTTGCCTGAGCTGGGTGGCATTGGTGGCCCCTTCAGCATGGACTGGGTGACGTCGACAGGGCAAAGCCGTGCTGCCTTCAGCTTTTATCAGTTTCAGTATCTGTGGGTTTGGAGTTGATACCTGTTAAACAAACACAGCAAGAGACATAGACAGGATGGTACAGATGTGTGAGGCTGGCCCGGCCCATGCTGACGCATAGCTGGGTGGCCTCCCCACCCCGAGGCCAAGGGAGGATGGCGGGAGGAGCCTCAGAGAATGTGGTGGTGACCCTCAGACCTTGAGTGGCCCACAGGCCAGAAATCCTGGAGTGGAAATGGAGGAAAAGAGGGTCATAGCTGCATTATGCGACACTTGAGAACAGATCAGTAAGAGAGGCTCCCGAGTGCAGCCCATCCAGGGAGATCAGCTACACCTGGGTGGCCGGTTCTGAGACATATGGGTGGTGACCTGTGGCCAGTGTCTTGGCCAGCATGAGAGGACAATTTGGCCAGGAGTCCTAGTGTCTACAGGACTACACCTCCCAGGCTGCTGAGACTGTCGGGTAAAAAGTACTGCTTAGGTGCGGAGTTTGGGGACAACATCTTCTGCCATAGATGTCAGCACAATGGTAAGCGAAAGCAAGCTCCTGGTAAGGAACACCTGAGGCAGGGCCTTCCTGAGAAAAGCAGTCCTCTAGGTAAGGCCAAGACATGACGATGGATGCATCGGAGGTGGGATGCTCCTGTGGACGACTCCTGTGTCTACTGCCCCAAGATCCCCAGAGATCCCTGGCCTCTGCCCCTGCTCGCCTTCAGGAGCTCAGACAGGGGCTTCTGCCCAGCCTGGACCCTCAGCAGTGGGTGCCGGAGTGTTGTTGCCCTCACAAATGGCTTTTCCTTCCTCTGCAATCTTCATCAGAGTGCAGCAAATACTCTGAAAGCATCACCCCAAGGGGCGCAGGCTCCTCACAGGTCACCTCTGTCTATGTGGGGAAGGAGGGACAGCCTCTGTCACTTCTGTCACTGTCAGCCCTGGGCTGGGGTGGCTGGCCGGTTCTTCTGTCTTCTTCCTGTTGCTACTCACATGCCAGGGTGCCCAGGGGCAGCCCCTTGTGGGGTTGGGAGAAGGGTCAGCTCTAGTCTGCCTTTTGCCAGCTGTGGACCTGTGCCTCAGTTTCTTCATCTGAAAAGGGGGCTTGCAGAGGACAGGAAGTGCCAGATGGAGCACCCAGGACAGCATATGGCCACGGACACCCCAGAAAACAGGCTGCTACTTATTGCTATGGTTACCTACATCTGCTGTGCCCCTCATCTCATCATTTAGGATCAGTGCTAATGCTCTGATGACGATGGCATCAGTCAGCAATAAGGAGAAGTCACCAGAGCAGAAGATGGTCCCAGCAAGGGTGCCCACCAGCCTAAGGTGGCCGGAGCCAGGGCTTCTGTGCCTCCTCAGGCATGTGATCCCTCCTCAGGGCCTACGGGAGGGGAAGAACAGTTGGAGATAGACACCCACCTGACTCCCAAGTTCACGGTGGTTGACAGAGGTGATTCCTTTGCTCGCCTGACATATATGTTCCTTCTCAGCTTTGACACATGCTGCATACTTGCATGTTCTGTGTGTGTATTCATTTGTGTGTGTGTGCAGTTGAGAACAGCTTTCACATCAGAAGCCCTCTTGCAATGACTGGGTTATGACCAAGTAACCTGTGTGCAGTGCTGGGCTCCATGCTCCCCTGCATGCATGGGGCTCTCCTCAAATCCACATGACCCCAGGAAAGGGACACTGAGGATAGAGGTCCTGGGTGACCTGCTGGAGGCTGTGCAGGTCAAGGTCTGGGTGCCCTCCCCCGAAGAGAACTCTGACCAGTGCTCCCTGAATTGAAGAGAACCATGCTAAACTGAATCCACTATGGCTTCTCATCAGCCCCAGCATTCCACATTGTCCTTCTACACACACGCACGCACGCACACACATGCACACCCTGTGCCCTGTGCCATACTCACGGACAGGGCTGTCACTCCACTGAGACCACTGATGAATGCTGCAGCCCACTCTGAACATGTGCTCGCCAAGCACTATCCAGGGGGGGATCACCAACCATCCCGGACGAGGGTGACCCTGAGAGGTAGAGGCAGATCCCTTATGCAATTTTTGGAACAAAAGGAACAACAGCAGTTCCATGCTTTTCATTTTTATCCTCCTCATGGAGGAACAGACTCCTCAATATCTTGTCTAATGGTGGCAGATGTCCCTGTAGAGGTGGTGACCTATATCGTGCAGAGGGGACAGGAGAGGAAGAAGGACTGTGTGCAAGGCTGGTGGCAAAAGTCATGCTGCTTGTCCCCTTAGAACAAGGTCTGGCCCCTGTAGCTGAGCTTCCAGCTGCAGAGCAAGTGGCCAGTGCACCCAGAGATGCCCAGAGACAGAGATGGGGAGAGAACAGTGGGTACCTGAGTGCTCTTGCCAGGCGTGGGAGTACTAAGGACCCTGTGTTTCTGATGAAATTGCCATCACTGGCCATGCTGCACATGTGCCCGAACTTTTACAAAATCATATAAGCATCGTTGGAAGCGATCTCTGCCTTTATGCATTTTAAGGCGGTTTAGTGTTCCACATGTAAGGCCCAGTGCTGGTGGTGCCTGTGATTGGTAATTCTCTCTGTGGGACTTATGGGTTCATAAAGCAAAGAATGTAATCTAATCACCCATAGGTACATGATTTCTTTATCCCTCCTATCAGATGTAATGTGGGTCATAGTCACAATTTAATAACGGCCCAAGTAGGGCTCAATAAAAGTTACCATTAAGAGCTGAAAATGTTCTCCCATTTATTTCCCTGACAGAGCCTGGCTGCCACACAGGGTTTGGATGGAGATTAATGTCACCTGAGAACTGATGCCCTGCCAGGGCGAGAGAAACCATGTCGAGCCAGGGCTCGATGCTGAGCTCTGGCTGTACCCACAGAGGGGAGAGTCGGGGGTTCTGTTTCCCATGTGGGGTTGCAGCTGGCAGGGATACACTGCTCGTAGCGGAGCTGCTTGGCTGTTATCCTGTCTGCTGGGGACAGCAGTGTGTTCTCGGTCTCCAGTGGGAGAGGACATACATGTCACGGGTAACTATGATCCTCAATGCCACCTTCTATGCAGCAAGTCCTAGTGGCTGTGCTATTTGTTTTTTTTCCAAGGGAGTCAGAAAGATGACTTTGACCTCTGCCAACCCTTTAGCCCCTCTTCTGTGGAGGTCACTAAGAGCAGTGTGAGCTGAGATGAGGGGTTCAGAAGCCATCCCTAGTGCGTATTTGTAGCTGGTGACTCAGGATACGGAGAGTGCAAGACAAAGGCTGGGCTCCCTCCACTTGGAGTGGTCTGTGGGGCTCCAGCCTGGAGAGGGCGCTATGCTGACACACATTCCTCGGCTGAGGGGCACACAGCTTTTCAGATGCGGCCTCCAGTGGTCCAGGCCCAGAAGTTGCAGAGGCAGAATGCACATGTTGATAATGGCCTGGGGCAAGGCATATGCAGGAGATGCGCTAAGGCTGAACCCATAGACACACAGGAAACCCAGAGGGGAGAGGAACACACATAAAGAGAGGATCGGCAGCAATGCTTCCCAGCAGGAGCCTGTGTTCCATTACCTGGGAAGAGGAGCAAGTGCAAAGTGTGACGCTGAGGGAAGAGTGTGCAAAGTGATGCTAGGGAGGAGTGTGCAAAGTGTGATGCTGGAGAGAGGAGCCTGCAGCACCCTGGGCCCAGGATGCTGTAAGAGCGAAGGTGCACAGGTGTTCCTCCATCAGAAGTGGTGCTCACTGGAGATGTGGGCTCCCTGTGTCCTGTGTCACCCTCCCAGCCCTGGGAGTCAGGTGCCTTGGCCAGGCAGTGCTGCTCTATTGTGTCTGCACCCAAGACACCGTGGACCTTGGCTCTGGAGGAGGTGGCTATGTCTGCGAGGTGGCCACTTCAGGACGTTAGAGGAAACAGGCTAAGAGAAGGCCAGGACCTGACAGTGGTCAGGAGACCACCATCAAGGCAGGGGACACAGGCCCAGCTCTGAAGCTGTTTCAGCAGTGTCCACATGCCAGGGACCCTAGGACTCGAGGATGTAGGCCCCGAGGATGACCTTCCCTGCTCCTCAGCCCACCCAGTCTACACCTGCTCTCCGGAACCCTCTGGACAAGTGTGCGCTCGCGATTGCTTGTGGCTCTGAGACGGGGATAGTGTCGCGTGCTCACTGGAGTCCTTCCTCATAGCCCATGGTGTCCACAGCTGCACAGACCCCAACCCTCAGGCTAGTGTCCTTGTCTATCAGTGCAGGGCTTGGACTCCAGCCCCACCTCCCAGCTCACCTCAGCAGCCCAGCTCCTGTCGGGCCCCAGGCTGGGCCCTAAGCAGTACAGGAACACAGGGTGCAGGGCTCAGACAGTGGCCTTGAAGAGGTGAAGTGTGGCTGAGGAAAGGAGTCTGGATGCAGAGCCAGTGGCCACACCCCAGCCCATGGGGTCAAGGGGACGTTCCTGGCCCTGCAGAGTCAGTCAGTTTGGTGGCTGAACGCCCTGTCCAGAGGACAGGGCCCTCTGGGAGCTGGACAGTGGCAGTAAGTGGATCTTTTCACCCTAAAGTATGCCAGGCGCTTCAGGAGTAGTGAGCTGCTGGCTGTGTCCCTCATAACCCTGACCATTTATGCCTCAGTTGACTTCTCATCATGTTGGTGGGCCTCTTAACATCATGCCCATGTTTTCTTGCCTTGGGTAAGAAAAATATCCAGTGTTTCCAACACATCCAGAATAACAGCTCATGAGCATGTGCTTTCCTTGGCTGCTGCAGTGCTTTAACCAGGGCTCAGACCCTGGGCATGTCACCAGCCTGGGCTTTATAGGTGCCTTCGCCAGAACCTGGGGCCTGACCGTGAGGAGTATGTGTGGAGCATGTGGCATGAGGTGTGTGTGGAATATGTAGTATATGATGTGTGTGGACATGCTCCATGTAATGTGTGTGGAATATGTGGGTATGAGGTACATGTGTGTATCATGTGGTGTGTGAGTTGTGTGTATAATATGATGTGGTGTGTGAAGTGTGTGGAATACATACTGCATGAAGTATGAGAGGATGTGTATTATGTAAGGTGTGTGTAATATGTTGCACATGAGGTGTGTGTGGAGTTTGTGGTGTGGGGTGTGTATAGAACATGTGGTATGTGGAATATGTGGTGTGTGGAGTATGTGTGCAGTTTGTGGTGTGTGTGTGTAATACATGGTGTAGAACATGTAGTATGTGGTATGTGTGTGTAGAATACATGGTGTGTTGTGGTATGGAGCTTGATTTTTGTATTTTAAAAGAGTCAGATGTCTGAGTTCTTTATGGGAAGTTTCTCAAGTCTGAGAATACTCAATGGGCTCTTTGGGCGGAACTGTGTCCACTCCCAGTGCTGTGATACAGCCTTTCTCTCAGGTCCTCAGATAGTGACTCTCTTTGGGAAGAGAAAAGGGACCCTCTTCTGAGAAGTGATCTGTTAAGATGGGGCTCTCAGGTGGCCCTAGTCCCAGGTGACCGTGTCCGCATGAGAAGGAAACCTCAGACATAAGGACAGACACGCAGAGGCGAGGGGGCCCAGCACACTCAGGGAGGAGCTGCATATGGGCTGGGGCCGGAGCCACAAGCCTGGGATGCTGCAGCCACTTGAAGCTGTGTGGCAGGCAGGGCCTCCCCGGGAGACAACAGCGCCTGTCAGTTAAGCCACCAGCATGCAGTGCCCTGCAACATTGGCCCAGGAATTGTGGTGAACAGGGCTGACACTGGCCCTGAGGTCATTTCCAGTCTGTCGCTCCACCGGGGCACTCTCTGCCACCAAGGTCGGCCTGTGGCTAGAGTCTGTCCTCATCACGCCCTGCTGCCCTCCCTCCTCCTGGCCCTGACCCAACCAACGCATAATAACCCTGTCTACATGTCTTTAATTAAGTCTTGACAAGAACATGGGCCGCATGGAATGGAGGGATGGCCAAGTATGTGTCCCTGGAAGACACCTCCACTCCCTCTGTCCTTTCCATCCGTCAGTTATTTAATTAATGGCTAGTAGTCTGCGTGAGTAGAAATTTATCTAAGGGCACAATCATTCCATTTCTCCATATTTTCTTTTGCGGATTTTGTGAAAAAAAAGAAAGCAAACCCTCCCACTCATGGTGTCACAGCTGTTCCTGGGTCTCCTGGAGGAGAGGGAGGGGCCAGCCCTTGGGGCTCCATCCCCTCAGGGTTGAATGTGTCCTGGACTTCGGTGGGGACCTGGCAGGATGGTGGTCCCAGATCGCATGAGTGTGTGGCTGTTTGCTGCTTGGTCCTTCCTCTGTCCCCAGCCACAGTCTCCTTTGCACCCCTGTGGTGGCCATGAATCCTCACCAGGGCGCTCAGGTGCAGAGCATGGGGTCGGGCTGAGTCTGTGTCACCCAGCACAACTGGTGCACACAGCCACTCTCCATACCCTGACTGCCCTGCACCCCTGTCCGTGGAGACAGACACAAGCCCAAAGCCGCCACGCTCTGTCACTGCTGAGACCTGGTGTCCTCGTGTGCCCGCTGGTGGTCCCGCCCTGAAGGAGAGACGATGGAAGGCACTCCATACTCCACGACTGCCAGCGCCACTGGTCACTGCCCCTCCTTCCCGCTGTGAAGGTTTTGAGGTGACAGACACGGCTCTGTGAGCTCAGCCCACCACGCACCACCAGCCCTGCCACTTTATGATGCTACGAAGATCTGAACATAGGAGTGCTCACCACAGGCGACGGTGCAGTGCCATTGCCATCTGCCTCCTTTACATGCATCTGTGATGCTGGGCTAGGCCTGGGGCTGCAGGAGCTGAGACCCCAGTAGAGACTTGAGACACAGAGGGTGACTTAGGAACTTAGAAGCTGCCACACAGCTTCTAATTGACATGGAGCAAAACATTTCAGCTGGCTTCTCCCTTGGAAGATCCATACCCTGCACCCTTCCTGAGGTCAAACCTGCAGGCAGGGTGAGCACACTCTTCAGGCCCAAGCTGTGGTGAGACTGTACCCACAGTCCTATCTGGGCTCCCGCCTGTCACCTTTGCTCCGAGCAGGTGAGGGTCTGCTGTCCAGTGACCTTGTGCAACAGATTCTCACCTGAAGGTTGGGAGAGAAATGTGTATGGGGGGCAAGGGCAGAGGCAGGGCTGGGAAGATGACGCCTAGGCAGGCCACCTCATGAGACACAGGGACATGGGGGTGCTACCTTCCTCTGGCAGCAACCCCATGAGTGCCACAGAAGAGAAGAAGGAGGAGGAAGAGGAGGAGGAGGAGGAGCCATAGCTAGGCAGAGTAGGGGGCAGCTGCTGTGCCCCAGGCTGGGGGACAAGGTTGCCTTTACCCTGTTTGTCCCCAAGTGCTGTTGAAGGCTGGTCTGACCTTAACTGCCAGGTGACCAGCATTGCCTTGGGTGAGATCACAGAGTCCCCGTGACCCTTGTCAACAGCCCTCCAGAGGTGGATGACAAGGACTCTAGGCAACCTCACCCAAGTTAGACCTGCCAGGAGGAAGTGCCCTGTGATCTGTGTGGAGCCACAGGGGCTACTGTCTTCCCATCCTGGGGTTCTCACGAGTACAGCAACTCCTGAAAGACAGAAAGCAGACGCCTTTGGTCCTGGGATGCACAGGACACTTTGGGTGGTGACAACTGACAGGCGGTGACTTTCAGGGGCGTTATTAAGTGCTATGATCTAACTTTGCTCTTTCTCCTTTTTCCCTAACCCAGCCCTATCTGAGATACCACTGTCCCCAAAACTGGGCGTGAAAACCAAGACCTCTGGGATCCTAAAGGAGTCATGGGACTTACGGCTCTGGCCGTCCCTGTAGGCGATGCCCATAGACTATGGTGGGGTGCTGGTGCCCTGTGAGAACCTCTGTCTGGTAGCTTGTGAATGTGGACATGGGATGGGACATAGATAGGAAGTGGTCATCTACATGGGTCACTCACATCCACTAGAGAGACTGGAACAGGATGAACACGGGCAGCTGTGCTTGGCTGCTCAGGGGGCACCCATGTTTAGTCCTGAACCCCAAGATGGGGTGGTGGTGCTGGGGAGCAAGCGACAGCCCAGCTCCTAGGGTTGGCACCCCAAGGATGCCAGCTCTGGCACTGTCAATACACATTCGAGGTCCCACG